CTCTCCTTTTGTCCTCTCTCCACTTCCCTCCTCCCAAAGCTCGCCTCCTGCCCAAAGTTTCCCAAAGCGTCGCCCCTCCCGCAAAGCCCCCCCTCCAAGCTCCCTCCTCCCAAAACTCCCCCCTCCAAAGTCCCCCCTCCCAAGTCCCCTCTCCTCCACAAGCTCTCTCCCAAAGTCCCCTCCTCCAAGCTCCCCCTCCCAAATCTCCCGCCTCCTCCCGAAAGCTCCTCCAAAGCTACCCCCCCCTCCAAAAGTCCCTCCTTCCCAAAGCTCCCTCCAAAGAGCTCCTCCTCCCAAGTCCCCCCCTCCCAAAGCTCCCCTCCTCCCAAAGCTCCCCTCCCAAAGCTCCCCTCTCCCAAAGCTCCCCCCCTCCCAAAGTTCCAAGGGGTAGGAGGCAGATTTCAGACCCAGTGTCAGGATCTAAAAAACCAAGGGGCCTCAGTCCCCTTTCCCTCCACGACCTCCTCGCGTCGGTGGGGCGAAACGAGACACCTGTTCCTGACTTTTTGCCTGCGGCTGGGCTCAAAATCGGTAGCATTAGCAACAGGTGTTACTGTTGAATTAAATTAATTATAATTAAATAAAATTAAGTTCCTCAATCCATACTAGCCCACAATTTAATCAGTTATTCTTATGTGTTTTTCTTTTTTTTTTTTTTTGAGGACAGAGTCTCACTTTGTCGCCAGGTAGACGTGGATGGCCGTGGGCGTCAGCCTAGCTCACAGCAACCTCAACCTGGGCCAAGCGATCCGTTCGCCTCAGCCCTGCCCGAGTAGCTGGGACTACAGGCATCCGCACCATTGCCGGGCTAATTTCTTAGTATAATCGTTGGCCAATTAATTTCTTTCGTATTATATTAGAGACGGGGGGTCTTGCTCTGCTCAGGGGCTGGTTTTCGCAACTCCTGACCTTGAGCATCCCCGCTCGGCCTCCCAAGAGCTAGCATTACAGGGCGGTGAGCCACAGCGGCCCGGCCTGTTTTCGTTTTTTTTCTGGAGACAGAGTCTCACTCTGGTTGCCAAGCTAGAGCTGCTGGGGCAGCGTCAGCCTAGCTCAGCAGCAGGCCCTCAAATTCCTGGGCTCAAAGCAGTCCTCCTGCCTCAGCCCTCGCCCGAGTAGCTGGAGGACTACAGGCGCGTGCCACACGCCTGGGGCTTAGTTTGTTGTCATTTTTAGTAGAAGGAAGGGGTCTCGCTCTTACTCAGGCTGATCTGATCCCCTGAGCTCAAGCAATCCTCTGCCTAGCTTGCAGAGTGTTAGGGTGGTACAGGGCGTGAGTTGACTGACGCGAGTGCATGTGTCAGGAGACTGCTGATCACCCCCTTGCGCTGTCCTTCTGTCCTGATTCGTAGTCTCAGTACACTGGCTGACCCTCCGCCTGTGCTGCGCAACCTGTCCCTGCAGTTCTCCACACCTTCCCTCTGCAACCTACCATTTGCCTCTATACTGATTCTTCCTTCTGCCCTCAAATTAAAATCCCTGCTACCCTTCAAGCAGCAGCCTTTTCCCATGAATCAACGAGCAGTTGTTCACGTTATCACACCTGCTCTGCTACTGAAGACTTCCTTCGTGGCTCACAGTGCCCCTTTCTGATCCAGGCCAAGAGCTGCTTCCGATTTCATCCCTCCTGCCCTTCTTCTTGCTCCTGTGACCCCGTTAATGAGGTCTGCTGCAGCCTCTGTCCTCCGCTGACCTGTGCGACTGCCTTTGCTCCGTAGCCCTCTTCTGGCCTGTCTGCCTGGGGTACCTGTTTCCTTTGTTTGCTCCTGAGCTACCCTCAAACTGCGAGTGTCTTCTAGGACTCATTCCATGACCCTTTTTCCTCATTCTACATTCTCTTCCACGACCGTGCAGCTGTGTTTATGACCCCAGCTACCACCTCTCCACGAACGATTCCTAGACCGAACTCTCCTATTCTGAGCCCTCACCAGCGAGGAGAATGGAGATTATCAGACAATGGCTCCCACAAGACTGTGGGCAGATAGAGCCCTGGCTTCTGGGACAGAGTGTGAGAGTTGGAAAAACCCCCAACCCCTCACCAAAGGCCAAAACCCCTCACCAAAGGCCAAATAATAAGATGAGGACATCAGCTGAGTCTTGAGTGCTTTTTATGTGCCAAGCCCTCCTTTTTGGATAGGGTTCCTTTTCGGATTCTATTCTGTTCCGTAGTGTTCCATAACATGTCACTTACTCTCCAGTAAGCCACTTCCCTGCTACGTCAGTGCTCTCCTCCAACCATGCCATAAATATTTTCTTTCATCTTTCTCTTCCTAAATCCCTCTGTGTTGTTGATATTATACCAGTACATTGCACTTAACACATACAAAATTTTAGATCTCATTATCACTTCTCAAAAGCCAACCTGCTTTCCAAGTTTCTCCCATTTATGTCAGTGCCATTATTGTTCCCTAGGCCCGCAGACTTGAAACCCTGACATTTTTAATCCCTCTGTGTTCCTTGCCTCTCCCCAGGTCTTCCCCTGGCCTTTCCTTTGCAATTTAGTCTTTTTATTTTTTTCTCTGAAGTGTCTCTTGATTGATTGATTCACTCATTCATTTTACAAATATGTGAGACCTACTTTATCCCAGGCACTGTATTAAGTTCTAGGGGTTCCGAGATAAGACATGATTCCTGCCCTCAAAGAGCTCACAGCCCCGTGTGTGGTATGGTAGGGTGTCATACGCACTGCCACAGAGACAGCGCTGGTGCTTTGAGAGCACTGCAGAGACATCTTCTCCCAGTGGGGAAGACAGGGAAGGGTTCTCAAACCGGTGATGGCCCTGAGTTATTTTTTTTGAGGCAGAGTTTCACTCTGTTGCCCGTCTGGAGTGCCATGGCGTCAGCCTAGCTCACAGCAACCTCAAACTCCTGGGCTCAAGCAATCCTTCTGCCTCAGCCTCCCGAGTAGCTGGGACTACAGGCATGCGCTGCTATGCCCAGCTAATTTTTTTCTATGTATTTTTAGTTGACCAATTAATTTCTTTCTATTTTTAGTAGAGATGGGGTCTCGCTCTTGCTCAGGCTGGTTTCAAACTCCTGACCTTGAGTGACCCATACACCTCGGCCTCCCCTGAGTTTTACCATATAAGCTAGCCAGGAGAAAAGGTGAGGAAATGGGCAACCAGGCAGCAGGAACAACATGTACAAAGTTGATGGTGTCTTCAGCGAGCTGCAAGTAATTCAGTATGGCTGGAGCATGGGGTGCAGGGGAAGAGGAGGACCTGAAACCAGAGGTGGCCATACCAGGTAGAACCATGTATGCCATGGTAGGGAGTTGGGGCCTCATCTTGAAGGCCATGGGAGCCTTTGAGAGAGATTGTTGCCAACTGATGTTGGCAGTAAGGGAAAAGGAAAGGAATCAAAGAGATTCCCAGAGCCTTATCTTTTAGAGATGCATACCAAAATCTCTTTTTTTTTTTTTCTTAAGACAAAGTCTCACTCTGTTGCCCTGGCTAGAGTATAGTGGCATCATTGTAGCTCACTGTAACCTCAAATTCTTGGGCTCAAGTGATCTCCTGCATCAGCTTCCTGAGTAAGCTGGGACTACAGGCGAGCACCACCATTTCTTTCTATTTTTAGCAGAGATGGGGTCTCACTCTTGCTCAAGCTGGTCTCAGAACTCCTGAGCTCAAGTGATCCTCCTGCCTCAGCCTCCCAGAGTGCTAGGATTACAGGCGCAAGCCACTGCACCCGGCCTTACATACTGAAATCTTTACTAATGAACTGATATGATGCCTGGGGATTCCCCTGATAGAATCTAGGCAGGGGAAGAAGTAGGGGTCATAGTGAAAGAAATATATTGGCCATATATTGATGATTATTGAAGTTAGGTGTTGAGAACATATGTTCTCTCAACTTTTATATAGGTCTGAAATTATCTGTAATAAAAATGTATAGGCCAGAGGCGGAAGGATAGCTTGAGCTCAGGAGTTCCAGACCAACCTGAGCAAGAACGAGACCCCATCTCTACTAAAAATAGAAAAAAATGGTGGTGCTCACATGTAATCCCAGCTACTCAGGAGGCTGAGGCAGAAGGATCACTTGAGCCCTGAAGTTTGAGGTCGAAATGAACTATGATGACGCCACTGCACTGTAGCCTGGGTGACAGGGTGAGACTCTGTCTCAAAAAAAAAAAAAAAAGACCTTTCTCAAGTTTGACAGCAAAGGAAAGGAAATAATATCTGATATGTGTGTAGCCTTAAGACTTGCTAAGTGCCATTCTGAGCAGGTTGGCTATATTAACTAATCCTGTCCTCCTATCAGCCCTGTGAAGTTGGCACTGTTACTAGCCCCATTTTACAGTTAAAGAAACTCGTTTGAGGCCAGGCGAGATGGCTCACGCCTGTAATCCTAGCACTCTGGGAGGCCGAGGCGGGCAGATTGCTCAAGGGCAGGAGTTCAAGACCAGCCTGAGCAAGAGCAAGACCCCCGTCTCTACTATAAATAGAAAGAAATTAATTGGCCAATTCTATATATTAATATATAGAAAAAATTAGCCGGGCGGCATGGTGGCGCATGCCTGTAGTCCCAGCTACTCGGGAGGCTGAGGCAGGAGGATCGCTTGAGCCCAGGAGTTTGAGGTTGCTGTGAGCTAGGCTGACGCCACAGCACTCACTCTAGCCTGGGCAACAAAGCAAGACTCTGTCTCAAAAAAAAAAAAGAAACTCGTTCGATTCTCACAGCTGGTGAATGGCAGAGCTGGGATTTGAACCCAGGCTGGGTGGCTCCAGAGCCCACACTCTTAACGCTGGTAGGTGGAAGGAAGTAAAGAGTTTAGGAAAAGTTTATTTGTTCTTGGTTTGCATTTGTAGTAGGAAAGCTGTGAGCAAGAAGATCCAGCCAAGAAGTAGGTAATTGAGCTGATCCAGGATTTGACTCGGGCCAAATGTTACTGTGAAAGGACAAGAAGGCACAGGGAGCTTAGAGCGCAGACAAGCAGGCTGGAGAGTCATGGAGCTGCGGCATCTTAGCCTGTTAGGAAAAAGGAGCTTGGTGGATTGGATTGCAAGAGTATGAAGGGGTCAAGAAGGGAATGAAAGGAGGGGTCTCGTTTTCAGAGAAGGTGGGACATTGACTTTGGAGAATTGACAGAATCATAGAAAGTGCATACATGCACAGGTACACACACAGAAAGGATACTTACTGGCGTGTTATCAAAAGTTCTGGTTGCCTTTTGTTTTTACTTTTGCCCATCTGCTTTTCTAATTTATCTTCAATTAATTTGTATTGCTTATATAATAAGAAACCCCACGATGAAAGTTACTAAGCATTCAGAAGTGAAGCAGCCTCAGGCATGGTGATAAGCGCCTATAGTCCCAGCTACTCGCGAGGCTGAGATGGGAAGACCACTTGAGCCCAGAAGTTTGAGGCTGCAGTGAACTGCCTCAGCCCCTGAGTAGCTGGGACTACAGGCATGCACCACTGTGCCCGGCTAATTTTTCCTACGCATTTTTAGTTGTCCAGCTAATTTATTTCTATTTTTTCAGTAGAGACAGAGTCTTGCTCTTGTTCAGACTGGTCTCAAACTCCTGAGCTCAAACGATCCTCCTGCCTTGGCCTCTCAGAGTGCTAGAATTATAGGCATGAGCCACTGTGCCCGGCCCAACCTAATTTCTTAATAGTCTCCAACTGAGTCTTCCACTTCAGTAGTTTCTTTTAGGTTTTTTTTTTTCACTTCAGTAGTTTTTTTTAAAAAACTTTTTATTTTGAAATAATTGTAGATGAACAGAAGGTTGCAAAGAAATGTACAAGAGAAGTCCCATGCACCCTCTTCCAGTATAACGTCTCACACAATTATAGAACAGTATAAAACCAAGAAATTGATGTTGTTCCAATCCATAGAGCTCATTCAGATTTTACCACTTTCACATGCACTCAATATTTGTTGGGGGGGGGGTCTGTGCGATTTTTTCACATATGTAGCCTTGCCTAACCACACCTACAACCAAGCTCGGAACTGTACCATCACCACAAGACTCCCTTGTGTTACCCCTTTGTGGTCACACCCATTCCCTCCTCACATCCCTAACCCCTGGCAACCATCCGTTCTCCATCTCCACAGTTATGTTATTTCATGAATGTCATCTAAATATATTCATGCAGTATATATCCTTTTGAGATTGGCTTTTTTTTTTGTTTTTTTGAGACAGAGTCTCACTCTGTCACCCAGGCCAGAGTACCATGATGTCAGCCTAGCTCACAGCAACCTCAAGGGGTCACAGGACCCCTCATGGCACTCCTGGACTCAAGCAATCCTGCCTCAGTCTACCGAGTAGCTGGGACTACAGGCATGCGCCACCATGCCCAGCTAATTTTTTCTATATATTTCTAGTTGGCCAATTAATTTCTTTCTATTTATAGTAGAGACGGGGTCTCACTCTTGCTCAGGCTGGTTTCGAACTCCTTACCTTGAGCAATCCTCTCACCTCGGCCTCCCAGAGTGCTAGGATTATAGGTGTGAGCCACTGCACCCGGCCAAGATTGGCTTTTTTCATCGACATAATTTCCTTGAAGTTTTTACACTTCAGTGTTTTCTAAAAAAATTAACATTGTATTGTCTTCACTATGAGACTTGTTCATTTCTACCTCTGTCTTTGTGTGTTCTATTTCCTCTCCTACAATACTCTCCACTGACCCTCTCAGCAATCTGGATTCATTTCCTTCCTGAGAGTGTGTGTCACTGCTCTGTTCCCTTGTCAATTATGTATATATCTCAGACCATATCATTTTCCACTTGCAGGTAGAAGGTAGGGACCATGCCCAACTTATCTTTATATTCCCAGCATCTAGTACAGTACCTGAAATGTAGGAGGTACTCAGCAAATCATTTTGGGGATGAATGAATGATTGAAGTTGCTCTGTTGGGTTCTGATATTGTGTCTTGAGAATGTGCTGTCTTCCCAACTAGATTCTAAACTAGATTGTAAACTTGAAAGCAGCAACTCCATTCCATTTACTAGTATGTGCTAGGTCCCAGTGAGGGTTGCCATAAATGTTTGCATGTGGCTTCACTGAGCGTGTGCCTTTGTGTATATTGGGATGAAGTGAGGGTGTGTTCGTGGGCTGGTTTCCCAGCTGCCCAGCCTGACTTCCCACAGTCAGCAGGATGGACCTGGAGATGTCGGGGCTGAAGACCCTGGAGCATGTGGCAGTGACAGTCTCCATCACTCATCCACGGCGCGGCAGCTTGGAACTGAAACTGTTTTGCCCCAGTGGCATGATGTCCCTTATCGGCGCCCCTCGCAGCATGGACTCGTACGTACACTTGCTTGTGACCCTCTGGGCTCTCTTTGCAGCAAGAGCTTTTCTAAGGAAAAGATGTGGGAGAAGTGGATCCTGGCACTGTCCTCAGCTGCTGTGGCATGGCCATCCCTGGCCGCCAGAAGCCATTTAGCACATGCTTTCTTCAAGTGCTCACAATGCGCTGGGCACTACGCTTTACATCCATTTTCTCTAATCCTTGCAAATAGATCCCTGCAGAATAGACTTTATAACCTCCTTTTACAACCAAGGACACAAGTCACGGAGCTAGTAAGTGCCTGAGAGAGTAAGAAAGAACCTAGATCTGTGGGCCTCCCAAGTCTGTGTTTCTCAGTGCCTGCTTTTTCCACTACACCACATTGACCTGGGTGCCTCCTTCCATGAGACCCCAGGAGCAAGGGACAGCACTTGAGGACCCCTCATGGCACCTATCTAAATGGCTGTAGCTCATTTCCGTGGCCACTGCATTAAGAAAGTGACGTTTCTGGAAGAAGGGGTCGACTCCCTGCACCATGCCTTCCACATTTTCTGCTGTGCTCTTTCCCCAGGGATCCCAACGGCTTCAACGATTGGACCTTCTCCACTGTGCGATGCTGGGGGGAGAGGGCAAAAGGTGTCTACAGGCTGGTTGTCAGGGATGTAGGTGAGCCCCCCTGCCCTTCCACCAGGGCCCTGCCTGTCCTGCTCGTCATCTGGTCCCTCTGCATCTTAGAGTCCCCACAGAAGGTGTCCCATGTGGAATGCATAGGGTTGCCATTGGACCAAGAGGGTTGATGCCAAGAAGTATGCCCCATCCAAAAAATGGGCATTGATATCTAAAACTGTTCATTTACACTACCTCTCATATTCCTTGGAGAAGTGACTGATCCATTTTTCCTCAGGATAGCAACAAAAATTCCTTGTTGAAACCACATTTCAAGTCCTTTCACATATAACCATCCTTCGGCCAGCCCTGGTAGGCAGGTAAGGGCAGGACTCATTTTCACCATTTTTTTTAAAAACTGGCCCAGAGGTTTGAAGTCACTTGTGGAAGGTCTCAGCATCAGTGACTATGGAATATCGTCAATATCAACACAGAGACTGTAAATTGAGCCCAACACTCCCAACTTCCATCAACTTAGGTGTCCACTAGACCAATGGTTTTCAAACCTTTCTTTAATTTAGGAGAAAGACATTTTTTTTTCAAGCAGAATCCCAGCTGCACCCCTAGAATATGAGAGTAAAGGCAAAACTTCTCTGCTTTGGAGTAGAATCTTTCAACTCTCCTTTCCATTCCTACGGGAACCCAGTGAGGCACTTCTGCAGAGCTCTGGGATCAGTGGGACACGGTTAGACAGCTACTACAGCAGACCGTGTGCTCTCAGCCCCTTTGGGTGGCGGGGCGGGCAGGGCCTCTGCTGTTTGGCATGGCCAACAGAAGGGCTGGCTCATGACTGCCCCACTTGCTGCCCTAGGAGATGAGTCGTTGCAGGTGGGCATCCTCCGGCAGTGGCAGCTGACCCTGTATGGCTCTGTGTGGAGTCCCGTAGACATAAGGGATAGACAAAGGTAGGTATAGCCACATGTGTCCGAGAGAATCAACTTGTGGGGGCTGGGGAAAGGGCTACCTGGGGAGCCCCATCCCCCTCTGAACTCCAACGGTGCTACCCAGCTCCAGCCTCAAGCTGGTAGATAGAGCCAGTGGCTGGCGGCCCCCAGTGTGCCCTTCCCTTTTCCCTGTGGGGCTTCGCTCCCTCCAGCCGTGAGGTAGGAGGGTGGGTGAGGGCTGTGGGAGCCATGTTTGGCAGGGCACCCTTTTCTACTCCACAGGCTGATAGAAAGTGCCATGAGTGGGAAATATCTGCATGATGGCTTCGCTCTGCCCTGCCCCCCTGGGCTGAAAATTCCTGAGGAAGATGGTTACACCATCACCCCCAACACCCTCAAGGTACTAGGGCCACGGCTCAAGCTACAGGCAGACAAGACTGTCCTGGGGGAATTGGTCCTTGTTGTGATGTTGAGGTGACATGGGGCATGAAGGATTGGGAAACCTGAGTCCCAGCAGTGGTTTCACAGCATGGCTCCTGCTCTGTGAGCTAACTCAGGCTCTATGAGGGGAGGGACAAAACGAGTGGTTGGGGTGGGAGAGGCGGTCCCAGAAGGGAAGGGACTTTTAGAGTCCATAGTTCTGGGCTGAGAAGTGCTACAGTCCCTCATGCAGGGTGCTTGGCTTTTCTGCAGACGCTGGTGCTGATAGGCTTTTTTACCGTCTTCTGGACCATCTACTACATGCTGGAAATATATTTGAGCCAGAGGAACGTGGCTTCCAACCCACTTTGTAGGCGTGGACACTGCCACTGGCCCCAATGGAGCCGAAAAGCCAGGGAGGAGGGGACAGAGCTAGAATCAATGCCACTGTGCAACAGCAAGGATCTAGACGGAGTGGAAGCAGAGAGCGGAGGCCCTCCCACGACCTCTGGCCTCCTCGCCCCAGACTTGCTGGATCAAGGGGACTGGACCCTGTCCCAGAACAACAAGAGTGCCCTGGACTGCCCTCACCAGCACCAACCCATAGACCTGTTACAGGGGAAGGAGGAGCAGATCTGCTGACCTCAGGGCCTCACAGACTCAGTGTGGGACAGGCTCTTGCTTCCCCAAAGCGGAACGGTTACAAAGCTGCTCCCAACTAGCAGGCGCTCTGGCGGAAAAGCAGTCCCACTGCTTACGTCTGGAATGTGAGGCCTAAACAGCATCCTCTGACCGTGCTCAAGGAGGGTGAGTGCCTTGTTAAGGTACAAGTGGCAGAGGATTGGTGCCCGTGGTCTGGTGAGAGCCATGGTATCTTCTCCGACTGAACAAGAGGTGTTGGAGAGAAGGTCTTGGACAAGAGATCGGTGCGCCCTTTGGGAGGCCTCTGTCCTCATTTCTCTTGGGCAAACCAGTTGTCTAGGCACACCGCCCCACGCATGGGGGACTCCCAGACCATGCCTGGGTTGAGAAGGTGCTGCCCCGGCCAGGAGAGCATCTCAACAGAAACATTGCTGGGGGCCCTTGGGAAGAGGACTTGGGGCTGGAGGCTGGGAAAAGCCCCCAGACATGCCTGTCCTGAAAGCAGCTGCCTCCGTTATCCTTTCTCTAGACCCCTGTCAGAAGCCAACCTTGAAAGCACCCCACTCCTTCACCATGCACCCCTTCCAAAGGGCACAGTGGGGATGGGTGTGGCTGGCCAGGGCCCGGGCTGCTTCAGGAGGGACTCCTGCGGCAGGACTGTGTGTGTTTCAGGAGACAGCCTTGGGCCGCTGCCACTCCAGTTCTGCGACCACCCTGTCTTCCTCCGCAAAGTGCTCAGGGAAATGGCCCTCCCCTGGGAGGTCAGCTGTCTGCCTCGCTGGCTGGGACTCTTTCTCCCTCTCGTGGCCTCCCACGCTAGTCGGCTGATCTGAATTTCTTTTTTAATGCTTAAGATTTGGTTTTCTCTTTTCATAGCAACATTTTGTTGAATTTTTTTTCTGCACAGCTTTTCCAAAATAAAAACCTTCTAAACAATTCTGCCGCCCCCATCTCTCGTTCCCTCTGCCTCCCCAAAGCTAATGCAAGTTGCCACGTGGCTTCTCTTTCCCTTCAGTCCCTGAGACTCACTCTCCTATTCCACGGCCTGGTTCCTTGGAAGGAGTCAGACCCTCCTGGAGTCTCGGGGTGTGAAGGGTCCTTCAAGAGAATGGTGGCCAGGAACACACATAAACCCAGATACCTGCCTGTTCCTTGCTCAGATTTCCTGGGACCAGAACAGAAGTGACCAGGGCAAATCAAACTCTGCCAAGCCAGGCCTGAGAAAAGATTGATGTATATATATATTTTTTTCCTTTTTGAATTTCAACCATAAAAATATTCCAGGAAAAGATAGAGGGAGGCTGGGCTGCATCTCCTTCAATGGGCTTTTGCTGCCAAGGAGGATGGTGGCTTGCCCCACCCCAGGCTACCCCAGCCCACTTTCCCCCCAGCTTAGCCCAGGGGAGAGACAGTCAAGGTGGAGGGGGCAGCTGGGAGGGAGGGGCCAGGGCAGTGGTGCTTTGGGGTAAGAAGTTGGGCTAAGGCTGGGGAGGCGGGAAGGAGCTGCCCGTGTGCAGTCCCCTTTGCTCAGTGACAGAACCTCAAAGCTTGGTCAGGGCTGAAGGAGCTACACAGGTGTGGGTGAGGCAGGCTAAGCGATGGCTGCAGCCAAGGGGCTGGGGAGGGGCAGGACTCAGAACTGGCCCGCCCCGCTCTAACTGATGATCTGTCGAGGTCGTCCGTAGCCTGTCATGCCGGCCTGGGAGGCCCCTCTGTTGCTGCCCATCTGAAGGCCGATGACATGCTTTCCTTCCTGGAGTTGGCTCTCTGTGAATTCCCTCTTATGTTCCTGCGCTTTCCTGGTAGAGGAGGAATCGGGATAAAGACTTGCCCGGACTGTGTGTTTTCACCTGCTTTCTGATCCCCCTGCTGTTTCCTAGCCCAATCCCAGCCCCTTCCGGTTCACTTGTCTTTTGTCCTTAACCTAGCTTGCCCCCTAGGCGAGGGAGACTGGTCGGGCACAGGTGGGGAGAAAGGCAGGAGTCGAGAAGTATCAGGGGCTCCTTTCCCCCCGACCCTAGACCTTCACTCGGCCCCTCCCTGGCAGTTGCTCATCCCTACAGTGGATTGGCCACGCCACCTCCCCCGAGCACAGAGGCCCACGTGCAGGGGAGCCTGCCGCCACGTACTTCATAAACCAGTTGGGATCTCCGCGGTAGTGCCCATCATTCTTGGTCACTGCCAAGCTGCCCAAAGCCATCAGGGTCCTCTGCACTGCTGCCATGTCTTTGCCTGTGAGAAGAAAGAGGTGAGCAAGGACAAACACCCAGACTGTATAAAACAGGACCCAAGCCAGGGCCTGCCCCCGGCTCTCACAGAAAAATGGCCAAACGAGGGGCGAGACTTGTCCCTGAGTCAAAGGAGGCTTCAGTGGATCCTATAGCAGACCCCTGGGAGCGTGGTGTGGGGTTCTCTTGGCATGTCCCATCCCTGCCGTGCACAGACGAGCAAAACTCTAGTGGTGGCATATGTTGATCATTCCCTCTCCCTGCCTCAGCATCCTGTCCTCCACCTGCCCACCTCCAGCCCCTTTTTCCTCGTACCTTCAAAGAGGTCCACAGTCTGGAACATGTCAGTCTTGGTGACCCCGTAGTCCTCAGCTGCCTTCAGGAACTGGGCCACCTGCTCCATCTGCTTGAAGACCATGGAGGGTGGGTTCTCAGGTACCTTCACAGGCTTGGAGCCATCGGGATACAGGCTGTTCACCAGCTTGCTCAGAATCTGCCAGGCACAGGACACAGCTTGGCACTCAGGTCAGGGGCCTGCCCCATGACTCTCAGGGTGGCACAACCCGGCCCCCCTTCCCAGGGTTCCACTCACCACGCCGTTCTTCAGCCAGACCTGGAAGCCCAGGCGCCCACGGTCCGGGCGACCCACATCAGGGCCACACTGCACTACGATCCACTCCACCAGCCGTTCCTCCAGCTCCTCGTCATACTTCTTCTCAATTTTGGATTGCACTTCACGGCTCATGCCATAGGAAGGACCCTTGTTGGCCATGTTGGGGGAGAGCTGAAGCAGGATGGGGTGGAGGAAGGAGAGGGTTAGAGGATCAGGGAGCAGCTCTGCTTTCCCTGTGCCAGGTGGGCCTTCTGGCTCTGTGCAGGCACCCAGTCAGCCTAGACATTTATCACAGCACCGCCCATCCGGGCCAGGTTCATCCCCTCCGGCCAGAGGCCTCTCTGAACTTGAACACCAGGAAACAGGATACAAGATCTTTGGTGGTCTAAAACAGTGGTCAGTAAACATTTTTGTAAAGGACCAGACAGTAAAAAGTTAAGACTTTGCAGGCCATATGGTTTCTGCTGTTGTAGCATGAAAGCAGCCACAGACAATATATAAACAAATGAGTGTGGCTTTGTTCCAATAAAACTTTATTTGGAAAAATAGACAACAAGCTGGACTTGGCCTGTGGGCTATACTTTGACAAGCACTGGCCTAGAGCATTCTTTCTTCACCAAGACTGGCCACAGAGGCACTGGAGAAGCCACATGGTGTTCTCAAATAAAACCAGCAGGTGTCTTTATCCAGCAAGGTGTGAAGTGGATTACTGCTTCTGCCTCGAGGAACAGTTAACCTCAAACTGTCACTTGACCCTCTAGTGCAGAAGCTGGGACTCCAGAGCTCCATCTCTGCCAGGTCAGCTGAGCCTCTGGCCAGCAGCTGTAGAGGCTCAAACTTACCCACCCTGGCAAGGTGTAGGAAGTCACCAAAGCCCAAGCTCTCTTGGCAAAGAAGCTGCATTTTCTCAGATGAGACAGTGGTATACCCATCAACTTTTCCTCCTGCCCCCAGGCTCTCGGCCACTGGAGTAGCTTGAGTGCCCAAGAAGTCCGAGTCCCCTTGGGATAGTCCAGAGCCAAGAATCTGCCAGCCAGAGCATGGGAAGCCCCGCCCTGCCCAGCGGTTGCCATCCCGAGGGCCTGGGCCTGGTGCTGCTCGGGAGAGCCCCACTCATGGGGAGTCGAGGCTGGGGGAGCAGGCCCGGCAGGCAGCTCCCTGGGCAGACGTGGGTGTGGCTGGTCAAGAGGAGCCTGGCCTGGCCACAGCGGGCACCTGGGGTGGTGTACCTTCTGCCCAGTGTTTGAAGAACCTTCCGAAAGAGAGACCAAAGGACTCTAACCCCATCCCCTGGCCTCAGAGAGGTCAGAGCTTGGGAGGGGACAGTGGCATGAGGACGCAGGCAGGCAGCGTGCTCCCCGGCTCCCTCTCTAGGGAGAGCTGAGACCCTTCCCCACCCCCACCCAGCCCCCAGGGGAAGTCGGGTGAACACTGACCCTCACACTGGGCCCAGGCCAGCTGCCAATTCCACTGCCCTGTCCTTCCTTCCCCCGTGGCTGACCAACTTTCTGAGCTCGAGTTCCCCATATGGGAAGTGGGGATTATGTCATGGATCTCAGAGGGCTGTGAAAATGAGAGTGTCTGTGAACTACCCCATATGCTGCCTGTCCCTTAGCAGAGCTCGTTGAAGTGCCAGTTGGTCTGCTGCCCAGAGCCAGTCTCCTGCTAATGACCTGGGCGAGAGCCATCCCTTGACTGAGGAGTAAAAATCCATAAGTGACTTCCCCACTCCAGCCTCCGCCCCTTCTCAAAATCTTTCCCTGAGCCAACAACAAAGTTTGAGAAAAAAAATCACTAGATGGACTCCCCTAAATGCCAGCCATTGGGCAACTCACTTCTCTCTGCCTCTGTTTCCTTATTTGTAAAGTAGGGGTTGGACTACCTCTGAGGACACGGCTCTCTGGGCACTCCCTGGCCACTGCACCCCTCTCCCAGCCAGTGACACCAGGGAGCCCCACGGCACAGTGTTCTGTCCCACTGTTCAGCTACAGCCACGTGCCACCCTCCCCCCATCCTATGTCCCTACCCCCACTTCCCAACTGCCCAAGGACCCCCTGGGCAAAGAGCTGTGGTCAAAGTCCCCAAGTCAGCTGGGATGAGGTGTCTTCAGCCAGTCCTGTGTCCCCACCCCAGCCTCTGCCCCCACCTTCGTCCACCGTCCCAGACAGGCACTCGCCACCTTCTTTCTCCCATCCTGCTAGGATCCCGCACCCCACCCACCCTCGCCACCTCCTGCAGCAAGAGGGTGGAAGGAGCATGTCCCCCCACTCCCAGCTCTCAGGCGGGGGAGGCTCAGAACAGACAGCACAAGTCAAAGTGTCCAGGCTCGCGGTGACAAGGACACAGTGCTGCAGCTCCTCCATCCAGAGACAATATTTGGATTTCGGTCAGAGCAAGGGAGGGGGTGAAAAGCACACCCCCCATGCCCACCCAGCACTGCCATCCTTCCCCTTCTTCCCCCTGGGGAAGGTCTGAACGTGACGGTCCCAGGAAATCCCTCAGAGTCCTCTGCTGCAGACCTCCCAGGCTCACCTTGGAGCCGTTGTCGAGAGGAGAGAGAGGACGATGGCCGCAGGGCAGCCCATCCATGGGAGTATCGAGACAAAGGCTCCCGGGATGGCATGGCAGGCGAGGGTCCCGAGGCTGGGCTCTGACCCTCCTGCCCTGTGGCTCCTGTCAGGGCCCTGCCCCCGCGCTGCCCAGTGGGTGAGGCTGGGCAGTGGGGAAAGAGCAAAGTCCAGCTGCAAAGGAACAGGTGGCACCTCCTCCTAGAAGGAGCCCAGAACAAACGAGCAGAACCGGGGGCTGTCCAGGACTGCTGTGCCCCCTCTTTGTGCATGAGTAGGACTGCGCGCTCCTGGATCTCTGAGGGGGCAGGAGGGTGGCTCATCTCAACTCCAGGGGGGAAGAAGACTGGCCCTGGTAGCTATATGCACACCCACCTTCCCTGCCATCCTCTCCATAGTCACCATGAAGGGGACCCAGCCAGGGTCCCAGGGCTGCCCCGCCCCCCACCCCACAGCGCCTCCTTGGCACCACTCCCCCCACTCCCTGCCCACAGCGGGGATGACTTCCCACTCCCAAAGGCTGGACCGGAAGGGCAGCTCTCTCACCCATGCATGCACCCTGCTGACCCAGACTATTCCCAACACAAGAGCTCTGTGGTCCTTCACGTTGCTTCAGGGGCTGTCCCGGACCCAAGACCACCCTCCAGCACAGGTGCACTCACACACCTCCTCCCCTGCTTGGGCGTCCTCCTACAGGGCCGACAGCACAGCCTCCTCGGCCTAACCAGACAAGCTTTGAGCCCAGCGCACAGCCTGCGGATGCGACTGGCTGAAATGGGAGCCTCCCTCTCGCTCCAGTGGTTTCCACCATCAACTGCCCTGAAGCAGCCAAGCATCCTGGGCATTTCAACAAGCCCAGGGCCACCCACCCCGAGAGACACATGGGACTCCAGCAGTCACATCCCGCCCTGCCTGGAGATTAGGAACCCATGCCCACTGAGACGGTGGGCATCCCGGGAGAGGATGGGCATCCCGGGAGAGGATGGGCATCCCTTGGGCCTGCAGAGCCTGCCTGGAACGCACCCACGCTGCTCTCCAGCTCCAGCCCAACTTCCCGCCCGGCCCGGACAAATGCACTCACAGGGCTTCCTTGGGGCTCGCAGGGAGGAGTGAGGTCTCCGTGTCTGGACTTGGACAGACAGGATGGGGCGCTGGCTGGGTGAGAGGTTTAAAGGGCTGCCACCGTGGTGATGTCAGCCTCCCCCGCCAGCTCCCCCTCACCCCCCTCCCTGCTGGAGGAAACCGGCTCCACTCCCTACCCCAGCCCACCCCCTCCCCCAGGGACTCCACGTAGGCTCCATATTTGGGGAAAGACACCAAGTTGCAGCAGTCTGCCGGGGGCTGCCGAGACATTCTCCGCATGCTTTGGAGATGGAGAGGGCTGGGGCGGGGCTGCGCTGCCAGCAGGGAGCGGGCCGGGAAAAGCCTTTTATGGACAGGACCATGAAGGCCTTCCCTGCTGCCCGGACTTAGGGCTGCTCCTTCTTCTCTGTTCCCTGCCCTGCCTTTGAGTTTGAAGTTTGAGGGGAGGAGGAGTTCAAGAGAGTCTGGCTAGAGAGAGAGGCAAGGGGATGGGAGCTAGGGATCCCTGGGGCTCGTGGGGAACAAACCAGCCACCCTCCCCTCCTGGGGCTTTGAGCTCTAATCCAAGATGGGAACTAACCTTTACTGAGGATACACGCCATGTCAGGCACTTTGCAAGCACTTCGTAACACTCTCAGCTACTATCCCCATTTTACAGATGAGGAAACTGAGGCCCAGAGTGCCTCTTCCCCAAGGCCACACAGTGACTGATGAGTGGCAGATTGTGGGCACCCCTGCTGGCCCCTGTGTGGGTGCTAGAGAGGCAGACCCACCCTTTAAGCTGTACACCCCTGCTCAAGTTGAGGCGAGCTTTCAGTTGGGGTGGGCCTTGAGTCACATGCTTTAGCTAGGGTGGGATTGAGGGTTCTGCAGCAGCTGAGTCAACAGCAGCCTCCATTCAGAGGACTGATAGTAAGAGGGTCTCGAAGGCCTGGCAGGGCCTGGGACACTAACCCTGGGGTAGGAGGCACAGAGGGTGGTAACATCCCTCCCACTCCCTTTAGAACAGTCCCTGCCTGTCCCAGAGAGCAGACTGGGCTCTATGCCCCAGGAGGGAGGCCTGCTCACATCTCGCTTGAACCTGGCTTCAGGGGTCTCAGGGAAGGATAGATTAAGAAAGGTGTCTACGGCCATACCACCCTGAACGTGCCCAATCTCGTCTGATCTCGGAAGCTATGCAGGGTCGGGCCTGGTTAGTACTTGGATGGGAGAAAGGTGACACAGAGACTGGGCTGCTGCCTGCTCTGACCCCCACCCCATCCTAGGGTACCTGGCAGGAAGAACCTACACCCTCCACTACACACACACCCAAGCCAAGCAAGGCCCCAGGAGAGGGGTTGCCTTAGGAGTCCCGCCCCCATGGCCAGCCCTGCGGCCGGAGCCTGGTGGTGCATAGAGCCACAGCGCCTCCTAGTGGTGGCTCCAGGGAAGAACATGGAGAGGAGCTGGGATCGGTAAGAAAAAACCCACACCCCCCTCTATCCCAGGACCCTGCACACTCCTGGCAGCCCTGAATTCACCAGATACCTTGGCCTCAAAATCTTGGCCTCCTTGGCTGGCTAAAGTCTAAATAAACCTTTCAGGGGCATTTCAAAACCACCTCCTCTTGGAGCCTGCCCACTATCCATTGTCATCTTGCGTTCCCTGAGTACCACCCCTGCCTCCGCCTGCACACTTGCTGTCTCAACAACACACCAGGAGTGCGGCCTGGGCCTGCAGCCTGGCAGGCTGGGGGTGCTCAGGTCAGAAGTAAAGCCAGCCTCAGTCTGGTGGGTGGGGCCAGGTGTGCAGAGGCTGCTGCTATTGGTCAGGTAAGGAGAGCTTGGCAGCAGTGGGATGGCTTGGCAAAGGCTTTTTCAATAACTGGCCTCTGCCCAGCACAGTACCTAGTGCAGAGCAGGCTCCTGGCAAATGTTTGCTGAATTAATGCTGTTGCTCCAGGGAGAGGAAAAACAGGGGGAGGGAGGGGGTTCAGGGGAGAAATCAAGGAACTACAGTACCCAGTGCAACCATGCCTTGGAAAAGAGAAAGGCGGGCCAGGAGATATGGGAAATGGAGGGCCACTGCACCTCTCATGCCCAACATCTCCACCCAGAAAGGGAGAGCAAGCAAGTCCTCAAGAGCTGCATCTGGTTGTTTCTTTATTGAATGCAAACTCATTCATAGAAAACAGAAATGGAACCAGAGCATGGATAGACATAAATGGAGTTCTGAAAAAAACATCCAGACCCACTTCCTCCACCCAGCCCAAGAAGAGCTATAAAAAAACAAATTTGGGAGAATAAAACACATTCCCATCCCCCGAGGCAGAGCCTTGACCCAACCTCCCCCATCCTTGGCATCTCGAATGAATGGGGTGGGACGAAGGGATCCAAGGACCAGAGCTGCCAGGGGAGCCCCGAACTGGGGCGACTCAGTGTAAACTCCAAGGTTTCGTAAGTACGGACGTGTGCGACTAACACAGAACCTGGCTGAAGATTGGACGGAAACTCTAAGCCCGGGTCCTAGTGAGGCTGGGACTGCGGACGCAGAGGCACACGGCGTGTCCCTTCCTTAAGCCCCTTTCTAAGGCAGGCACTGGGCTCCCGCAGCTTTGAAGGCAGGACGGACCGGGCTCCGTGTATCATCCCTCCGTTGCCCCTGGACATTCTCGGGCAGTGTCAATGGCACTGAAAGGCCCCCAGCTGGGGCTTGGCAGGACTAAGGGCCTGTAAAGAAGGGCGGCAGGGGTGAGTCACTTTTCCCTCCAGTCCTGGTGCTGGCATCGGTCTGGGGGCTGGCGGGACAAGGAGGTGACCTCTGAATGTAGCCTCTCAGATCAGAAGGCGGTTCTCCCATTGGGCTGACCACATTGCTGAGAGCCGGCCCTGAGCACAGGGCAGAGGGAAGAGGGCACATACTGCTCTGGGCCCCCTGCGGGCCTTAGCACCAAAAGTCTGGCACCAGCTGGCCAGCCGCCAAAGTCCCACACTCTCCTCCACCCTGGCCGACCGGCGTGGGCAGTGATGGCAGCCAGGTGTAGCCCCAAAGAGAACGGGGGCCCTGGGATGGGACAGAGACTCAGGCCCCAGAGCAGGCCCTGCAGTGGGAGTACGGGAGGAGGAAAGGGCTTTGGAACCCAGGCTTGGGAGGCGGTGAGGAGGACGAGTGAGGAATGCAAGGCATGAGATGGGGAGGGTGTCACCTTCCCTCCTTCCCCCTGTGGAGGGACAAACGGAGAGCCAAAGGACGGGGCCCACGGAAGGCCCCAACACTGAGAAGAAAGCAGCAACTTGGCCAGTGTCTGGGGTTTCAGGGGAGCAGGCCTCCTCCCCGGCAGGGCAGCCACAAGGCTCGATGCCACCCCGTGACTGTCCCAGGCCAGGCCTAGCCAGGCCTCGCTGTCCCGCCACTATGCAGTGCTGGGCCTCATACCCCCGGCGACACAGGCGCCGGGCACGTGACACAGAGGAGCTCAGGGCCCCCTGAGGTGCGGTGAAGGGCCAGGCTCCCGCTAGAAGACATAGATCTTGTCCCGCTGCACGGTGTCCAGGTCGTCGTCCAGTGTCAGCAACACCTGGGGGATGGACGCCAGGTCAGCCACAGAGAGAGACGCTACCTCCGCCTCTACTTTAGCCTCCCGGTTGGGGCCGGGGCCTGCCTACCAGGAAGGACCCAAACATGGCGATGGAAGAGAGGAAGTGCCAGATGTCGTGGTCGTCAAAGAAGTCGAGGAGGATGCAGTCTCGGTTGTGCTCTCTTGACTCTGCGGGGGTTTTCTGGGGGAGGAGCAGAGACAGCCACCTGCTGACCCTGCTCCGGCAAGGCCAGGGCCAGGCCCTCCCTCCCTCTCACTCCAGGGCACCCCACTGCCGGCCCCAGGCAGGACAGCACCCCATTCTGACTCATCTCTTGCCCTCGTCCCCTCATCTGAGAAATGGCCTTCTGATACAAACTTCCCCCGAGTCCGCTGGCTTCTGCTCGTCCTTTCCCTTCACTCTTGTCCTCCTCCCTTCAGATTCTCTTTTGATCTAAGAGCTGGGGCTGTAGTAACCTTGGAATGCCTTCAACTCAGAGGTTCCGGAAGGCCTCCTAACTCCTTCCCCTGCCTGGACTCCGGCCCTGCTCTGCCTCCAGGCTCACTGTTCTCTCGGAAGCACTATTGTCAGGTCTCGGAAGCACTATTGTCAGGTCACCCCTGCTCAAGGACAGTAGCCATGACCTGTGGCACTCAAGGTCCTCCCCGCTCTACCCGAAACCTCTATCCCACAAACGTACTCATCATCCCCCGCGCCTGGGGGCTGTCTGGGCTGCGTGCCGAAGCCGAAGAGGGGACCAAGACCTGCCCTGTGCTCGACGAGCTCTCAGTCTCCGCCTGGCTCCCAGTTAGTGCATTCGCTGACCTCCAAATCTGCCTCTGTGTCACTGCTCAGGTCACAGCATGTCTGTGCCATAGGGCCCTGCCCTGTCACCCAGGGCTTTTATGGCCAAGAACAAGGCAACAAGGCCCCCTCCTCCAGGAAGCACTCTTGGACTCCTAACTCAGAGTCCTCTCTGTCCTCTGTACATTCCCCTGGCCCCATCGTGCCTGTGCCCTTCATTTCATGAATCAGATTGTAAACAGCATGACACATCCTGACAGTCTCTCTTTCCCTCTCCAACTAGACTGTGAGTGCCTCAGAGCCAGAGACCATGGCAGACTTAGTTCTGATCACAGAATTAGAACCTGACACATGACAGGTACCCTGTGAGACACAGAGGAGAGAGTTTGACTTCTCTGGCCTCAAATCCCAGCTGTGCCACTTGCTGGCTGTGTGCTCTTGGGGAGGTCACTTGGCCTCCCTGAGCCTCACCTGCCTCCTAAGTAAAAGGGAGCTATCTCCAGGCTGGAATGCTGAATGCCAGGAGAATTAAAGGAGAAAGCAGCTACGGAAGTGCTGGCCCAATGGCAGGTGCTTCCCCAACAGTGTTTAAAAAGAAGATTAAGCTGGGCGTGGTGGCTCACGCCTGTAATCCCAGCATTTTGGGAGGATCACTTGAGGCCAGGAGTTCAAGACCAGCCTGGGCAACATAGCAAGACCCCATCTCTTATTTAAAAACAAAAAACAAAAGGATTGGCATTTGCTGGCTCACGATGAGCCTGTGGGTTCCCACTCACCTGCCAGGTGCTGAGCCCCTGGAAGAAGAAGAAGAGTGCAAAGCCCCAGACCACGGAGGTGCAGACGATGCAGAGCAGGGGGATGAGCTTGATCCTCTCCCCGCTCCGGAGCTAGGGGTTGAGGAAGGG